AGCCTCAAGTTGTAATCTAATTACAACTTTTTGCAGAACTGTTGAAATTCGTTACTATGTCCATTTGGAAATTTGGATCCATCAGAAAATCAAACTTTCGTCCGAAAACCGAGTCATACCGGGACGTACATGTCTATCATTCATTGAAACACATCATTTTATGTTCTGAGACACCACCAGGAGCTTCTAGGTTATGCCTAGACAGGTCCTCCAAGCTGTCCAATACTGGTCTTCTGCCAATGGTCTGTTTAGTTATCTCTGGAGGCCCATATAATTCCAAGAGTCCACTCCGCTGTGACTTCTCCATTGGGCACTAGAATTGAGAGGTCTTCGCTCCTTTGTATTCTGTATGGCAGACCTTACTTCTGCTTTGACATCCATTCCTCAAGCCTCAAGTTGTAATCTAATTACAACTTTTTGCAGAACTGTTGAAATTCATTACTATATCCATTTGGAAATTCGGATTCATCCAAAAATCAAACTTTCGTCCGAAAACCAAGTCATACCGGGACGTGCATGTCTATCATTCATTGAAACACATAATTTTATCTTCTGAGACACCACCGGGAGCCTCTAGGCTATGCAACTAGACAGGTCCTCCAAGCTGCCCAATACTCATCTTCACCCAACGGCCTGTTCGGTCATCACTGGAGACCAATAATTCCAAGAGTCCACTCCGCTATGACTTCTCCATTGGAGACCCAAGAAGTCTTCGCTCCTTTGTATTCTGTATGGCAGACCTTACTTCTGCTTTGACATCCATTCCTCAAGCCTCAAGTTGTAATCTAATTACAACTTTTTGCAGAACTGTTGAAATTCGTTACTATGTCCATTTGGAAATTTGGATCCAGCAGAAAATCAAACTTTCGTCCGAAAACCGAGTCATACCGGGACGTACATGTCTATCATTCATTGAAACAGATAATCTAGGTTATGCCTAGACAGGTCCTCCAAGCTGTCCAATACTCATCTTCACCCAGTAGTCTTTTTTAGTTATCTCTGGAGGCCCATAATTCCAAGAGTCCACTCCGCTATGACTTCTCCATTGGGCACTAGTCCCAAAAGGTCTTCGCTCCTTTGTATTCTGTATGGCAGACCTTATTTCTGCTCCAACATCCATTCTTTAAGCCTCAAGTTGTAATTTGATTACAATTTTTGGCAGAACTGTTGAAATTTGTTACTATGTCTATTTGGAAATTCAGATTCATCTAAAAATCAGACTTGTGTCCAAAAACCGAGTCATACCAGGATGTACATGTCTATCATTCATTGAAACACATCATTTTATGTTCTAAGACACCACCAGGAGCTTCTAGGTTATGCCTAGACAGGTCCTCCAAGCTGTCCAGTACTGGTCTTCTGCCAATGGTCTGTTTAGTTATCTCTGGAGGCCCATAATTCCAAGAGTCCACTCCGCTGTGACTTCACCATTGGGCACTAGAATTGAGAGGTCTTCGCTCCTTTGTATTCTGTATGGCAGATCTTACTTCTGCTTTGACATCCATTCCTCAAGCCTCAAGTTTTAATTTAATTACAACTTTTTGCAGAACTGTTGAAATTCATTACTATGTCCATTTGGAAATTCGGATTCATCCAAAAATCAAACTTTCATCCGAAAACCAAGTCATACCGGGACGTGCATGTCTATCATTCATTGAAACACATAATTTTATCTTCTGAGACACCACCAGGAGCTTCTAGATTATGCCTAGACAGGTCCTCCAAGCTGTCCAATACTCATCTTCACCCAATGGTCTGTTTAGTTATCTCTGGAGGCCCATAATTCCAAGAGTCCACTCCGCTATGACTTCTCCATTGGGCACTAGAATCGAGAGGTCTTCGCTCCTAGAATCGAGAGATCTTCGCTCCTTTGTATTCTGTATGGCAGACCTTACTTCTGCTCCAACATCCATTCCTCAAGCGGCAGTCACTTCAATTCCCACAACACAGATTCTTTGCTGCCATTGGAGGACACGTACAGCACACTTCACGATAAAAAAACTCTACTGAAATCTTCTCGGCATTGAACATGACATCTTTATCAGCAGATCAAGAACTCCGTTGAACAGCGGAGGAGTTTCTAATCTCTGGTTGATGCATTTGTAGCTAATTAGCAATCCTTCTCCACGAGAGTCTCTCAAAATCCCTGGGAGACGGGGATCTCTGGGGGAACGTGATCCTCTTCCCACACTCCCCCATTGCAGGCAAATTCTGTCAAGGGATCCAAGAGGTCTCCAGCACACAGAGAATTACCGGCAGCATTCACATGGAAGTGGACTTTTGCTGTAATATTGAAGATGTCCCACCACTCATCAAAGTGACCACCTAAATTGTATGACCGGTGCAGGGGCGGACTGACAACTCTTGGGCCCCCCGGGCAATAGGGGATCATATGGGCCCTATGTCCTCGCTCACACTCAAACCACACCCAAAAAAGCCTATGAAAGGTACCAGGGGCATCTCATGGGGCCCCCTGCTGACCCTGGGCCCTCGGGCCCGAATGGTCAGTCCGCCCCTGGACCCGGTGAGACGTCTTCATCATTACCGAAAAGGTCCAGTAGAATGTGACAATTACTGCTTGTGACCTGAATACGGGAGAACCTTCACTGGTCTTACTCTAGTGACCTTCACCATCAAGAAACCAGTGTCGTTGTGGGCGGGGTCAACTCATCCTGTACGCAAGGGTACCCTTCGCACGTAGCATGCTCATCAATGCCTGGGACCGGGCGGAGATTGTGGTCATGTGAAAGATCTAACATTAGGGAGTTCCCCAGCTTCGAGGTGACTCTTCACTGTCTGCAGCAGTAGAATACCGAGTTCCTCTGAAAGGCGACTTGTTCCTCGCCACTACACACTGCAACTTGATATAAATTGCTTTAGGAGGGACACCACTGAGCCCATGTCCTCTCCACCAGTCCAGCTCTGTTACCTCACTCCCAGTAACAGAATGGGGTCCCACCATCAGGGCTGCTGTTAGAAACCATGGGGCCCCATACAGTCAACCTGACAGGGCCTCCCCTTAAAAAACACACAGTTTACTATGCTTTTGGTATGAATGAACACAGTGAGTGATCGGTACTGATCACTCCTCATATTCATTCAGCAAAGGAAGATGCTGGTAAATGTGATGTATTTACGGGACCTTTCCCCCACTCTCCATCCTGAAGGATCCTATTGTGTGCTTGCAGCTGCCGGTGGGAAGGAGAGGAGGGAAGCCGGCAGCACTGTGGCGGGTGGGGGGCCTGGGCAGCAGGGGGAAACGTATGGTGTAAAGGGATGGCGATGGGGGTGGGGGCAGGGGCAGGGGCGGACTGACAACTCATGGGGCCCCCGGGCAATAGGGGATCATGGGGCCCCTATGTCCTTGCCCAAACTCAAAAAAGCCTATGAAAAAGGTACCAGGGGCATCTCATGGGGCCCCCTACTGACCCCGGGCCCTTGGGCAGTGCCTGAGTTTCCAAATGGTCAGTCCGCCCCTGGGCAGGGGACAATCGCTGGAACCGATCCCCTGTATGACTCTCTTTGCAGCAGCTGAAACGCAGCGGGAGGGAGAGGTGAAGAAGCTTTCAGCTGCCGCGGAGATAGCCATACCGGGGATTGGTTCCAGTATTTGCCCCACCCCGCCCACAGTGCCAATCACCCTCCCTGCCCACATCAAATTTACCCAGCTGCCTGGGCCCCCCTGCTGGCCTGGGCCCCATACAGGAGGACTGGTGGTACCATGCACCTAGTGCGGACCTCATACATGCACTTATTAACTCCTTCACTTCCCACACCTCGTGACCACGCCATAGATCTCCATAATGCAGGTCCAGTTGCTAGTGGATTCTGTCCGCTATTGAGGGAACCAGAACATCAACCCCCTCACTACCGGACAGGCTGACAACTCATGGGGCCCCCCCGGGCAATAGGGGATCTTGGGGCCCCTGTGTCCTTGCCCAAACTCAAAAAAGCCTATGAAAAAGGTACCAGGGGCATCTCATGGGGCCCCTCACTGACCCTGGGCCCTCGGGCAGTGCCTGAGTTTCCAACTGGTCAGTCCGCCCCTGTTACCGGAGCACCTGTCACCTTACAAAGTAGCACGCCTAACAACTGGTTGCTTTGTCTCTTGAGCTGCACTTGGCTACTCTTAGCACTCCTTCTCCGTGTCTTGCTGAGTTATCGCTTTGTAGTGATATCACTTCATACCCCGCAGACCTTCATATATCTACTTCATACCCCGCAGACCTTCATATATCTACTTCATACCCCGCAGACCTTCATATATCTACTTCATACCCCGCAGACCTTCATATATCTACTTCATACCCCGCAGACCTTCATATATCTACTTCATACCCCGCAGACCTTCATATATCTACTTCATACCCCGCAGACCTTCATATATCTACTTCATACCCCGCAGACCTTCATATATCTACTTCATACCCCGCAGACCTTCATATATCTACTTCATACCCCGCAGACCTTCATATATCTACTTCATACCCCGCAGACCTTCATATATCTACTTCATACCCGCAGACCTTCATATATCTACTTCATACCCCGCAGTGCTTTGCAGGCCTGGGTTCTATAGATACACCAGAACCAACATGCACCCCTTTGTCCAGACCAGGCTCAGAACGGTAATGTAACTTTACGGAACAAGTTGCAGCGTAACAGTCCAATATGAACAACATCCTTCTCCCTAAAGCAACTACAGTAGTGTGGCTGCCCAGGCATACCTCCATGAGGTGAGAGACCATCTTGGCATTCTCTATGTCTTGGATGTCTCTGAAAGTCCCGGTGTCTTCAATGGACTGCAAATCACAGCAGTTCCGATGCCATGAGTAGAACAGTACCAACCAATTCGACTAGGAAGTGCCCTGGACCTCAGTCTCCTGCCTTTTTAAAGCACAGGTGGGCTGGCTAGGACCCAAAAGCCTAAAGACTGTGCCTACAACATTTAACTCTTTCTCCTCGGCCTGGTCCAACTGGACTAACTCGCTAGAGCCAACATACACTTTATTTCCAAAAATTTGGGGCCTGCCCTCCAAATCATGTGATTCAGGTGTTCCAATCTCCTCCATATCATGTGATTCAGGTGTTCTAATCCCCTCCATATCCCATGATTTAGGTGTTCCAATCCCCTCCATATCATGTGATTCAGGTGTTCCAATCCCCTCCATATCATGTGATTCAGGTGTTCCAATCCCCTCCATATCATGTGATTCCGGTGTTCCCATCCCCTCCATATCATGTGATTCAGGTGTTCCAATCCCCTCCATATCATGTGATTCAGGTGTTCCAATCCCCTCCATATCATGCGATTCAGGTGTTCCAATCCCCTCCATATCATGTGATTCAGGTGTTCCAATCCCCTCCATATCATGCGATTCAGGTGTTCCAATCCCCTCCATATCATTCAGGTGTTCCAATCCCCTCCATATCATGTGATTCAGGTGTATACAATCCCTCCCATATCATGTGACTCAGGTGTTCCAATCCCCTCCCAAACATGTGATTCAGGCGTTCCAATCCCCTCCATATCATGTGATTCAGGTGTTCCAATCCCCTCCCAATCATGTGATTCAGGTGCTCCAATCCCCTCCATATCATGTGATTCAGGTGCTCCAATCCCCTCCCAATCATGTGATTCAGGTGTTCCAATCCCCTCCATATCATGTGATTCATGTGTTCCAATCCCCTCCATGGACACAGGTGTATACAATCAAGCCCCTAGGCATGCAGACTACTTCTACAAACATTGGTGAAAGAATGGGTCGCTCTCAGGAGCTCAGTGACTCCAAGCGTGGTCCCGTGATAGGTGGCCACCTGGGCAATAAGTTCATCCGTGACATTTCCTGGCTACTAAATATTCCACGCTCAACTGTTAGTGGGATTATAACAAAGTGGAAGCCACTGGGAACAACAGCCACTCAGCCACCAAGTGGTAGGCCACGTCACATGACAGGGCGGGGTCAGCGCATGCTGAAGCGCACAGTGCGCAGAAGTCGCCAACTGTCTGCAGAGTCAATAGCTAAAGACCTCCAAACTTGGTGTGGCCTTCAGATGAGCCCAACAACAGTGCGTAGAGAGCTCCATGGAATGGGTTTCCATGGCCGAGCAGCTGCATCCAAGCCTTCCATCACCAAGTGCAATGCAAAGCGTCGGATGCTGTGGTGTAAAGCACGCCGCCACTGGACTCTAGAGCAGAGGAGACGTGTTCTCTGGAGGGACCAATCACGCTTCTCTGTCTGGCAATCCAAAGGCCGCGTCTGGGTTTGGCGGTTGCCAGGAGAACGGTACTTACCTGACTGCATTGTGCCAAGTGTAAAGTTTGGTGGAGGGGGGATTATGGCATGGGGTTGTGTTTCAGGGGTTGGGCTTGGCCCCCTAGTTCCAGTGAAGGGAACTCTTAAAGTGACATTTTGGAAAATTTCATGCTCCCAACTTTGTGGGAGGAGTTTGGGGATGGCCCCTTCCTGTTCCATCATGACTGCACACACCAGTGCACAAAGCAAGGTCCATAAAGACATGGAGGAGCCAGTTTGGGGTGGAGGAACTTGACTGTCCTGCACAGAGTCCTGACCTCAACCCCATAGAACACCTTTGGGATGAATTAGAGCGGAGACTGCGAGCCAGGCCCCCTCCCCCGACATCAGTGCCTGACCTGACAAATGTGCTTCTGGAAGAATGGTCCAACCTTCCCATAGACACCCTCCTAAACCTTGTGGACGGCCTTCCCAGAAGAGTTGAAGCTGTTATAGCTCCAACTAGTGGTCATAAAGCTGTATTCTCCTGAAATACCTCAATCAAATATACCACATTGTGACCACTAGGTGGAGCTGACAATCATAGGAAATAAACATTACGGGGATTATTCACATGCTTACACATTCGCACAGCAATTTTTTTTTAATATAAATAGACCCCTAAGAATGTCTTTTATTCTCAGAATTCTGAATTTGTAACTGACTAAATTAAAAAATCAGATTTTTTGGTTCTCACAAATGTTCTTTAAAGACATTATTAGAATGTGAAAATGTCAGCTGAGCTTGTAGGACTTTATGTGACTTGGAGTCATAGGAAGGAAGGAGCGCCGATGTCCAGAAGAACGCACTATTGATGGTAGAGTAGGAGGCATTTATTGAGAGTAACGACAAATACATCAAACCAACACTTTTCAGGAGAAAAGACTCTCCCTTCTTCAGGACCATTGAACAGATATACGAAAAATATACAGAAAACCAATATATGAGAAGAACAACAAAGTGGTATATATATATATATACACACGGCTCAAAAAAATGAAAGGCAGACTTTGTAATGAGAGTCTAGCATGAAGTCCATGAGCCTCCTGGGATATGGATCTGGTCAGGTAAGTCGCAGAGGGGGTTGTTCATCAGTTTCAGCTGCTTTGGTGTTCATGAAACTAACAACAGGTGCACTAGATGGGCAACAATGAGATGACCCCCAAAACAGGAATGGTTTTTCAGGTGGAGGCCACTAACATTTTTTTCCCTGCTCATCTTCTGACTGCCACTCACTCGTTTTGCATCTGGCTTGGGTCAGTGTCACTACTGGTAGCATGAGGCCATAGCTGGACCCTACAGAGGTTGCACAGGCAGTCCAACTCCTCTAGGATGGCACATCAATACGTGCCATTGCCAGAAGGTTTGCTGCAGGGGCGGACTGACAACTCATGGGGCCCCCGGGCAATAGGGGATCATGGGGCCCCTGTGTCCTTGCCCAAACTCAAAAAAGCCTATAAAAAAGGTACCAGGGGCATCTCATGGGGCCCCCTACTGACCCCTGGCCCTCGGGCAGTGCTCGAGTTTCCAAATGGTCAGTCCGCCCCTGGTTTGCTGTGTTTACCAGCACAGTCTCAAGAGCATGGAGGAGATTCCAGGACACAAGAGCATGGAGGAGTTTCCAGGAGACAAGAGCATGGAGGAGATTCCAGGAGACAAGAGCATGGAGGAGATTCCAGGAGACAGGCAGTTCCTCTAGGAGAGCTGGACAGGGCTGTAGAAGGTCCTTAACCCATCAGCAGGACCGGTATCTGCTCCTTTGTACAAGGAGGAACAGGATGAGCCCTGCCAGAGCCCTGCAAAATGACCTCCAGCAGGCCACTGGTGTAAATGTCTCTGACCAAATAATCAGAAACAGACTTCATGAGGGAGGTCTGAGGGCCCGACGTCCTCTAGTGGGCCCTGTGTTCACTGCCCGGCACCATAGAACTGGATTGGCATTGGCTATTGAACCCCAGAATTGGCAGGTCCACCACTGGCACCCTGTGCTTTTCACAGATGAGAGCAGGTTCCCCCTGAGCACATGTGACAGACAGGAAAGGGTCTGGAGAAGCCGTGGAGAACGATCTGCTGCCTATAACATGGTTCAGCATGACCGTTCTGGTGGTGGGTCAGTGATGGTCTGCGGAGGCATCTCCATGGAGGGACACACAGACCTCTACAGGATAGACAATGGCCCCCTGACTGCCATTATTTATGGGAATGAAATCCTTGGACCCATTCGGACCCTACGCTGGTGCAGTGGGTCCTGGGTTCCTCCTGGTGCAGTGGGTCCTGGGTTCCTCCTGGTGCAGCGGGTCCTGGGTTCCTCCTGGTGCAGTGGGTCCTGGGTTCCTCCTGGTGCAGCGGGTCCTGGGGTCCTCCTGGTGCAGTGTGTCCTGGGCTCCTCCTGGTGCAGTGGGTGCTGGGTTCCTCCTGGTGCAGCGGGTCCTGGGTTCCTCCTGGTACAGCGGATCCTGGGTTCCTCCTGGTGCAGGGGGTCCTGTGTTCCTCCTGGTGCAGTGGGTCCAGGGTTCCTCCTGGTGCAGGGGTCCTGGGTTCCTACTGGTGCACGGGGTCCTGGGTTCCTACTGGTGCACGGGGTCCTGGGTGCCTCCTGGTGCAGGGGGTCCTGGGTTCCTCCTGGTGCAGTGGATCCTGGGTTCCTCCTGGTGCAGTGGGTCCTGGGTTCCTCCTGGTGCAGTGGGTCCAGGGTTCCTCCTGGTGCAATGGGTCCTGGGTTCCTCCTGGTGCAGGGGGTCCTGGGCTCCTCCTGGTGCAGACAATGCCCGGCCTCATGTGGGGAGAGTATGCAGGCAGTTCCTGGAGGATGAAGGAATTGATACCATTGAATGGCCCCCACACTCGCCTGACCTAAATCCAATAGAACCCCTCTGGGATGTCATGTTGCGGTCCATCCAACGCCGCCAGGTTGCACCTCAGACTGTCCAGGAGCTCAGTGATGCCCTGGCCCAGATCTGGGAGGAAATCCCCCAGGACACCATCTGTGGTCTCATTAGGAGCCTCCCCCGACGTTGTCAGGCATACATACAAGCACGTGGGGGCCACACAGACTACTGAGGGCCATTCTGAGTTGCTGCAATGACATTTCAGCCAATTGGACTCGCCTGCTGCATCATTTCTTCACTTTGATTTTCGGGGTGTCTTTGGATTCAGTCCTCTGTAGGTCGACCATTTTCATCAAAAGCATAGAACAGGTATATATAAATATATTTTAAAAATTAGAACATTAAGTCAATTATGAGGCAAAAATACAAACAGGCAATCCCAAGATAAAATATGTTTTAAAATTACAAAAAAATATGCATCAAGAGTTCCTGATCAGAATCAAAATAATCAGAAAAGAAATAAAATCACTAGCAATGATATTAGCTGCAATAGTAATCATTAAGGTGGTCGGGCAATGTTGAGGAGTGTAGACGCAGTGGTGGGGTAATGTTGAGGAGTGTAGTAGATGCAGTGGTTGGTACAATGTTGAGGAGCGTAGATGCAGTGGTTGGGTAATGTTGAGGAGCGTAGATGCAGTGGTCGGGTAATGTTGAGGAGTGTAGACGCAGTGGTTGGGTAATGTTGAGGAGTGTAGACGCAGTGGTTGGGTAATGTTGAGGAGTGTAGACGCAGTGGGGGTAATGTTGAGGAGCGTAGACGCAGTGGTTGGGTAATGTTGAGGAGCGTAGATGCAGTGGTTGGGTAACGTTGAGGAGCGTAGATGCAGTGGCCGGGTAATGTTTGAGGAGTGTAGACGCAGTGGTTGGGTAATGTTGAGGAGTGTAGACGCAGTGGTTGGGTAATGTTGAGGAGCGTAGACGCAGTGGTTGGGGTAATGTTGAGGAGCGTAGATGCAGTGGTTGGGTAACGTTGAGGAGCGTAGATGCAGTGGTCAGGGTAACGTTCAGGAGCGTAGAGCAGTGGTTGGGCAATGTTTGAGGAGCGTAGACGCAGTGGTCGGGGAATGTTGAGGAGCGTAGATGCAGTGGTGGGTAATGTTGAGGAGCGTAGACGCAGTGGTGGGGTAATGTTGAGGAGCGTAGATGCAGTGGTCAGGTAATGTTGAGGACAGTAGATGCAGTGGTCGGGTACATGTTGAGGAGTGTAGATGCAGTGGTTGGGTAATGTTGAGGAGCGTAGATGCAGTGGTGGGTAACATTGAGGAGTGTAGATGCAGTGGTTGGGTAATGTTGAGGAGCGTAGACGCAGTGGTGGGGGGAATGTTGAGGAGCATAGATGCAGTGGCCGGGTAATGTTGAGGACAGTAGATGCAGTGGTCGGGTACAATTGAGGAGCGTAGACGCAGTGGTTGGGTAATGTTGAGGAGTAGTAGATGCAGTGGTCGGGTAACATTGAGGAGCGTAGACGCAGTGGTTGGGTAATGTTGAGGAGCGTAGATGCAGTGGTGGGGTAATGTTGAGGAGCGTAGACGC